AGAGAGAGAGAGAGAGAGAGAGAGAGAGAGAGAGAGAGAGAGATGCACACCATATATCTCTCAGCTTTTCAACTGCATCCCTCAAAGTTAGAAGACACTGATTACAAAGAACGCACTCAACAAACATTCCTTACTGGTACACATAAAACTTTATGTAGCCTAGTACCATTTAGCCCAGTATAAAGAGGCTTCCCTTCAGGGGAGTGGTTCTTTCTGGTTGGGTCACAATAACATGAGGAACTGTATTAGAGGGTCACAACATTAGGAAGGTTGAGAAGCACTGCTTCAGACTCTGATGCAGCAGAGGAGAAATGACTACGGAGCATCTTTAGGCCTCTCGTGCTTCATAGCTCCTTGGAAGAACCACCTTGGTCAGCATGTGGCCTATGTAATTTCACAGGGCTTTTACCTAATCCAAACACTCTTGTCACCCTCTTAAATTTCTCAAGATATTCTAAAGAAGTGGTCCTGTGTTTTTCATTTTCCATGACGCTTTCAAATGATGTATCTGGTATTGTCTGTCCTAAGGAGATTTTATATGTGTTCTCCTAGGCCTAGAATAGTCTCCAAGGACTAGTAGGCATTACTGAAAGAGTGACTGAATCCTAGGTGATGTGGGAGTGTCATATATCAATCTGTTGATTTCATTGGTTAATTAAATAAAGAAACTGCTTGCCCTGATAGGTTAAAACATAGGTGGGAGGAGTAAACAGGAGGAAGAGGAAGTGAGGTAAGATTCCTCAGACAGACTCGACAGCTCTGCTCTCTGGAGCAGAGACGCCAGGCTCTGCTCTCCCAGGCAACTCTGACCCAGGACGGATGTAGGCTAGAATCTTCCTGGTAAGCGCACACACATTATTAGAAATGGGCTAAATTAATATTAGCCTAGAAGAGGCTAGATAGAAATGGGCCAAGCAGTCTTTAAATGAATACAGTTTGTGTGTTGTTATTTCGGGCATAAGCTAGCAGGCGGCTGGGGTGCTGGGGACACAGCCCCGCCACACTTATTTCAACACCTGGGTAGCCAAAATAGGCAAGTCTTTTGGTCTTTCACCAGAGAATCCCAGGTACCTGTTTACAGGTTGAGATTAAGCATTTTACCAACTTTCTCATAAGCACATCTTTAATATACTTACAAGGACTTGTGTAGTAGATTACTCAATATTATTATTGTTTCCTTGTCCTGCAAATATTTGCCACATAGTCGTCTTTACCAGGTCTTAGCCTGGGTTGTAAGGGAATACTCAGAAAGAATTCTATACCCTCTTGACATTATATATAAAGCATAGGCTAGGAGAAGGAACTTGGAGATTTGAAATATAAGACTAAGGTTCAGGAGAACCCCAATACTCCAAGGAAGACTCTTTTGTCATAAGCCTGTGCCTGTCACAACAAGAAGAGGGGCTTCCAGGCTGTCAAGTTGCATAGATAGGCAACCCAAGGGAATTTAAAACAGAAATGTGTGATGATTGACAAAGAAATAGGAAGAGTTTTTCCACAAGTGTTTGTGTGAAGAGTAACTGTGGGAAATTAAGGTGACTTGGGAGGCTGGCCAGCCTAATGCTAGCACTGAATCTTGCTATCCTGTAGGCAACAGGGACATCTCATAAGGGTATTCAGTGGGGACATTGCATATCAGAACTGTGTTTCAAGAAGAATCTCAGGAAGAAAATGCTGGAAGAATCACAGGAGAGAGCAACTATGGGGATTTCTAATAGACAATATGAACAGTTCATTAAACTGAGTGTAGGAGTAGACAAAGCAGAGAAGGCTCTTCCCGGGTGACCAGTGTGACAACACAGAAGTAAGGACATGAGAGATGTAAGAGGAGCTTTTAGTTAATGCTGAGAGAACAGTTCCCTAGATTGCATAGTACTTTCTAATGTTCCATTACAAAAACCTTTACATTTATTGCTTAGGGTTTTTTTTTTCATGTGTGCGTATGTATGTATGCATGTGTGCAGAGGCGTATTTTTCTCTCACTAGCTATTTGTAATGCAACTTATTATTCAAGCCGCATCTAAACAAAATGTTAACATAGCAGCTGTGTTTTCATAAGTGAACAAAACTAGCCATTTATCAGAAGAGCAGCAAGCACCCCTTGTTAGTTGTGAATTATCAAATTTAATAACAAACATCAAACTGTTGTGTGTCCTGCTTGCTATGTGTTTGGTTTAAGGATGAAATCAGAGCTGTTAGTCATAAAGCTCATGTGTTTCTGCCCTAGCTTGTACCCGACTGTACCATATACAACATGCTTTCTCTCTTAAGCTAAGAGAGAAAACACTAGTTCATACAAATCATGAAAGACCCTTAGCTTGTTAATTACCTAGGGTTTCATATGATCAAGATGCTAGGGAAGGTTAAGAATTTTGAGCTAGAGATAATGTAATCTATATGGCTGTACCAGGTGCTGAGGTTGATGAAGCAAGCAGAAGACTTTTGGGTTCAGAACATATAAACTGACAGGGGAAGTAGAGGCAGCACCAGGCAGAGCTCAATTCTCTGTGCTCCCTTGCAGATGGGGCAGGCAGGGGTTGAATTCTAGGTCCCCAAATAGATGCTATATAAATATTCACAAATAAATTATTTTAGCATCACTAGACCCTACATCTATGTAAAAATGAGATTCAGAACACTTCTAACTTCTTGTGGTCTCATGAAACATTATGTAGTATCTCATGCATGGTCAGTATGCAACAAAACTTGTCTGCCATTCTTATCATTAATAGTGTTAGGAAATAATTGGTAAGTAGCAGAAGAAGCACATTTGTTATTTCTAAGCACCCAGGAGGTATCTGGTCAAGAAATAAAATTTCAGATCCACATATACACTGCAAGCTAGGACATGCCCACAGAAAGTGGAAATGGCTTGTATAAAACTTGACTATATTTTGGAGCATTTGAATAACTGAACAAATACTCTAGTCTGGTAGATCTAGCCTACAGCAAAGAGAGATGTCTGTGATGGAGGCTGAGGGTCACCAGAAAATGGTAGTAGAGGGTGCTTCTAGACTATCTATTGACAGCTTCGTCTGACAAAGGGTTACAGTAACCATTGGGTAGATCAACAGGGAGGCCATTAGTGAAGCTTGTATGGGATAATGCAGTGAAGCAATAGAGCAGATTGTGGTTCAAATAGAGCTGGTGAGAACATGGGAGGCACAGTACAGGAGAGATCTCTACACTAAAAATTGACCACCTGGGCCAGTGACATGTCCATGCAAGAAAAGTTTATAGTGATCTGCACACACTCCCTCTCTCCCAAATGTATATGTTTACACGCACACGCGTGTGTGTGTGTGTGTGTGTTCACAAGGATGGGGAAGAGAGACAAAAAGCTGATGGAATTGGAGTCAGATTTGAAGGACATGTTATGTGGGAAAATATGCCCATTTAAGTGGCACTGAGTTGATAACTGCAAAGTACAAATGAAATTAATGAATGAGTGCTGAGTCTGGAGACCAGCAAGACACAGAGGAGCTAAAGCTACATCTGGACAAAGAGGCAGAGAAGCTGTATTTGAAATTGAGATGCAAGGATGGAGTCAATTGTCTCACACAGCAAGGTGCTGGCAGGCTATTGGGAGCTTTGGAGGTTGTGGAGGATCCCAGGACCAATAGAAGTGTCAGAGAAGTTGCAGAAGCAATAGCAATGTGAATGGGTTGCTCCAAAGCATAGTGGAAGATAGGCAGTAGAGCTGCTGGATTTTCTAGTTTGAGGGACATGATTAACTGCACCCCTATTATCTCTCCTCCTATTCAGAGTAATTTAAAAGGAAATGTAGAATCTGTGGCAAACAGAATAAAACATTCCAATACACTCTGTGGTAGTTTGAATGTAATTAGCCCCCATAATCTCATAGAGAGTGGCACTATTAGGAAATGTGGTTTTGTTGGAGTGGGTGTGGCCTTGGTAGAGGAAGTGTGTCGCTGTGGGAGTGGGTTTTGAGTTTTTTATGCTTAGAGTACTGCCCAGTGTCTCAGTTGATTTCCTGTTACCTGCAAGATGTAGAACTCTCAACTACTCCAGCACCAAGTCTGCCTGCATGCTGCCATGTTGCCCACCATGAAGATAATGAACTAAATTTCTGAAACTTTAAGTGAGCCATTCAAATGTAATGTTTTCCTTTATAAGAGTTATCATGGTCATGGTGTCTCTTCACAGCAATAAAAACCCTAAGATAAAAGTTTGTATCAGGGACTGGGGTGTTACTGTGATAGGCCTAACCATGTTTTTGTTTGGAGAAATTTGGACTGCAGGACTTTGTGTCAGGAAAGCAGTGGAATGCTTTAAGTACTGCTTAGTGGGCCATACTTGTAGGAGCATAGAAGACAATGGTGCTAAATGTGATTTGATGAACTATGGGGGTCATGAAGTTTCAGAGTAGAAGAATGTTAGTATGTAACTTAGATACTGTTCT